TTGGATTACCAGAGCTGTAGCTATTTTGTTTAAAGAAGAAACATAACTTACTGCATAACATAAAGAAAATAACATTTATATTTTTACACGTGTGGCTTTCATTATGAATGAAATAATTAGATGTTAGGCCACCTGTATGGCTTTTTCCCAACTTAATGACATCAGGGTTCAATTATTCAGAGATCTAAATCCAACAAATTAGAAGAGAGTAAAACCAGCTTAAGCAGGTGGCTTAGAGGGTTTTTTTGTTTTGTTTTGTTTTGTTTTTTGGTAGTTATCAGTTTTCTGTATATCCTTACTTCCAGGAAGCAGTTCACCTGCTCACTCAGTGCTGTGCTTTCATGTTTTTTTTAAATACCCGCATGCTGTATTTTCCTTAGAAATCTTTTATTGATCTTATACATTTTTTTAAAAAATATCAATACTGTATTCTGAAATCTCTGTTGGTGGCTCTGTGTCAGAAGCAAAAGTACAAAACACTTATTACTGTTCCTTGCACCAAGAAATATAGTGGAAGTTTTATTTATCATTTTAGCCAGTATTTTTTAAATTTTGCACAACACTGCTTGTAATACTAATAGACATTATTCCTGATACATTGTGCTCTAGAAATTCATCTGTTGAAGGAGACAGTTTTGTCTAGTGGCTAGACTTGCAGATTGGGAGGCTGAATTTGAAGAGGTGTGGACTGACTAAGTGCTTCATATTCAATGAATTCCCAATTCAGCAGACACTGTAAGTCTCACTAAAGTCAATGGGAATTAAGCATATACTTAAATGTTTTCCTGAGCAAAGATTCATCGCTATATTGGGCCTAAAATAAATGAGAAATAATGTTTAGAAGTATAAAAATTGAGGTGAATCTAAAGACTAAGCTGCTTACCCTAAGGATGGCTAGCATCCATCCAGGGGTGGCCAACCTGCAGCTCTCGAACCTCATGAGTCTCATTTCTTATAGAAATGCGGCTCGTTTAGGGTTACCATATGTCCAATTTTTTCCTGGACATGCTCTTCTTTTCCCATGTTAAATTGCCAGCAGGCCGGCTTTTTTAAAACACAAAAAATGTCCGGTATTTAGGGAAGGGGCAGTGTTACCTGCCTTCAAGGGCACGTTTGCCTGTCTTTTGGAGCTGCACGCCTGGACAGTTCATGGATGCTCTGCACATGTGCCTCAGCACTTGAAGAAAAAAGTGCATAGCGGCAGCGGCTCTGGTGAGACCCAGGATGTTAATAAAAGAGAAAAAAATCTGGAGGCTGCCTAGGTCTGAGGGAGGGGAGGGAATTCGGTTAGAGCAGGGAGCCTGCGGGTGCCTTAGAGTTATAGATATATAAAAATAAATATTGAATACGTGCCTTATAGATATATACAAATAAATATATAATACATGCCTTATAAATATATACATATATAAAAATAAATATATAATACGTGGCTCTTTGCACTACTATCCACGCTATTTTGGCTCTTAGTCTCTAACTGGTTGGCCACCCCTGAACTACTCAGTAATCAGGAACAGGGAAAACTGCACTAGGTACAGTCATCTTCTTTTTACCACATGCCAGTAAGTTTAGCATGACTTTGTATAAATAATGATATCATCAGCCCAGTTGTAAGAACATGTTACTGAACAAAGAATGTCTCTTTTATGAAGGGATTTTTTTTATTACTAACCTATTTAGAAATATTTGTTTATGTAAGCAGAGATTTGTCAGGAAAATGAACGATTATAACACCTCAAAATAAATTCTAGCAGGAAATGAAAGGGGGGGTAAAGACCCCAAAAAGCTGTAGTGTATAGTACTTAGTATAATATAGAGGAAAACAGTCTGTGTAGGGGTTAAATCATAGAAGTGGGACTCAGGAATCATGAGGTTTCAGTGATGGCTCTGCAAATGATTCATTAACAGTGAAATTCATTTCTGTGCTAAGAACTGAAACCTGAAGGAAGCCTTAACTAGCTGTTGGAGCTTCTGATGGCCTTCTGCACAGGGGAGAATTAAGCCTTATGTGACTTCAGGACAACTATGTTAGTCTCCCTATGTCGCTTTTTAAATAAGGCATTAATGACTGTAAAGTGACTTTCATTAATATAGCATATTTTTCAGATCACAAATTGACAAAAGAATGAAGAAAAAAGAAACCTATAATAATAAGAGTATTATCTGAAATATAACAGGTAAAGAAAAGTAACCTGGGGAAGAGTCATGCTCCCTTCCCTCAAGGCACTGTTTTTAAGACACTCTTCTGCTCAAATAGGACAAGCTAAATACCAGGAGTTAGTATCCTGAGAAATGGAACAACAAATAAAAAACAAACCCCTGAATGGAAAAAAAGCCTCCACCCCCAGTTCATCGTAGCAGTCAGATGCCTAGCTACAAGAAGGCATCACTTCTAAGTAGCTTTTTGTCAGGGATCTACTACCTTGCACATATGGACATACTGGGCACAGAGCAAGCAGGAAAGCACATTAACATAAGAATGACTCTAGTGGTAAGAGCTTTGTCATATGAGCTTGGAGATGCTGGCATCTAATTTCTCTGGTCCACTCACTAACGTGGAACAGCTTCAATAGGAGAGACTGAAGGCGCCCTACATCAGACTATTCCATAACCCAGAGATTAGGGTTTTCACATGAGAGTTCCCTTCCCTTCTTATGGAGAGGTAATATAATATGGAGGAAGTCCCCTCCATCCTGGCTGAATAACCTAACCACTGGGATAAAAGTTATATGGGAGGGCCTCCTCCTCTCTCCCAGAGCTGTTCTGTGTGACCCTCTGAGTATGCCAATGTGGTAGTATCCAACATACAATATAAAGCCAAAGCCTAGATACCTCAGAATTTCTCTGGGACTCAGGCAGGAGCCAGGCACCAGGATACCCAGAGTGAGGCAGAACTGTGCATACCAGAAACACAGGCATCCAGAGACCTTTTTAACTGAAAAAACCATAAGAGGTGAGGGAGTTCAGGTACCTTTGAGGTTCAGCATGAGTTCCCTGAATTGGAGCCTAAAACCTGGACTTAGGCACAATTTTATTTAGGCACGTAAGTACCTTTGTGAATCTAGATCTCTGATATTATAATGACGGGTGGCCTTAACAATAGCATCAAAAGATGCCAAAAATAGAGGATAACTTGGAAGGAAAACTAGTGAAGACAGTTGCAAAAATATTCAAGGTAAGCCATGCAGACCAATTTGCCTTTTCCTTAACATTGCCCATTTTTAACACCAATCAAAGGCCAAAAACATTGAGTTACTTTACTACTTATGTGCATTGTCTCACCTTACTGTCTGTACTTGTAATTTACTCTGCCATTAACATCACTGCTCAATTAAGCCCTTTTGAGCTCTCACAAAATTATCTTCAGAGCTCAAAATGTTGCTTAATATTGCTGTGTATTAAAAAAAAACCCTAGAAACATAGTTCAGTTATGTTAAGCACTAGCCCAAAAATGCTGAATTGCCTAATGAAAAGTTTCAAAAATAAAAGCTTTTTACACTTTTAACCGTGCTTTTGGTACCAATAAAAATAAGATATAAAATGAAATGTTTCTAGTAGGTTGCTGAAATGTTGCTGCTGCAGGAATGTCTTTCCCTGGGTTATGATTTAATTAAACTACAGATTTAGTAACCTAGATCACAATTGCATCATTTCTGATTGTTCCCAATCCTGCATTATTTGTCTTGTGCTAAGCCCTTCCCCTTTCAGGAATTGGCTGCTACTTCTTCTCAGTCAGAACACCCTCTCTCATCACTCTGTTGCAAGTAGTTTTCTATTTCCTTCCCTCTATTGTGTCTTCTTC